AGTTTCCATACTTCTCGTCAAATATGAGGTGAAAAGAATTCTTCTCCAACCAAATAACAAACATTCAGCCTCACAATGACTACAGTTGCAACAAATCTTGTGATTTTAATCAGCGGAAAAGTTTGAGTCCGGCGGCGGCTAATGGTGAGGTTGCCGCTCCGCCGGAGGCGGAGACAGCGAGAACCTACAAGTCTTTTAACCTTGCTCTCGATACCATGTAAAATAATGTTATAAGAAGAAAAGTGTATGATTATTATTGAGTATAGTTATTGATTATATACAATGATTCATGATTCCTATTATATAGAAGAGGGGAGTGTGTATGTAGGTAGTGTAGTAGTGAAGTGGAGGTGGTAGTTTAGTGTAGTGGTTGTATGGTTAGGTTTGTGGAGTAGGTGAGGTGGTATGGTTGTATGGGTTAGGTTTAGTGGAGTAGGTTTAATTGGGTGTGAAGTAGGTGAGGGTGGGGTAGTGTTGTAGTGGGTTAGTTTAGTGGAGTAGGTTTAAGTGGTGAATAGGGGAGAGTAGGTGGATTTTTAACATTTATAGCAGACAGTTTATGGTCATGTCGGTACCTTTATGTAGCAGACAGTTTACGGGTCATGTCGGACCGTTGTAGCATGACAATGTTGTGACAGTTTAGGAGTCTTGCTGGACCCTTGTAGAAACTAACCGGAATCATGTCGGGACAGTTTACAGAGTCTTGTCGGACCCGAGAAGAGTAACTCGGAATCAATGTCGGGGACAGTTTACAGAGTCTTGTCGGACCCATGAAGAGCTAACCGGAATCAATGTCGGGACAGTTTAAGAGTTTGTCGGACAACCTTAAAAAGTTCGCACCCTCAAAAGGTGTTGCCCAATCTTTCAAAGGCGTGCCATCCAAAACGCGGCTGTGCCCCCGCCGCAAGCTCCATGCCAACCAAAAGCGGCGGCCATCAAAAGGCGAGCCCAAGTCATAAAAAGATGTGCCGGACATGATGGCGAGCGCACCACATTGGCTTGCGCGCCCCGTTTTGTCGTCTGGCGTTCAAGTGGCGCGCGGCGCGGTGGTCTGCCTTGGCTATTTAACAAGGACGGATGCTAGGCTAGGCAGAGGCTAAGACAAAAAAACTGCTAAAAACCTCTGAAATCTCAGTTGTCTTGAGAGAGATATACTCTGTAACACCTGTAAACCAACCCTTTCTGACGAGTAACCAGTCGGAAATATTCTGCTTCGCTGAAACACTAGCAACCCAAAAACATGCTCCTCTCCCGTCCAGCTACCAGAACATGGCCTCCTCTTCCCGTGGTCTGCTCACGCTTCTTCTCAGACCTTAACATAGTCCACAAGAGGAAATAACGTGTTGGCAGTGGCCAGTGAACCTCAACAAACACCTCTGGTTTTGCTCCGTTAACTTTCCAATGCTGGTTTTTTTGTGTGGAGCAAAAAAATGGCGGGTGCAAACTGGATATGAGGCCAATCAGTATACTTTGAATTCATGTGTGGAGAGTGGAGTCCATGACGGCGGTCACAAACTTGTCGCACCGGCTTCAGAGTAGGACAAAACGGTACCAACATTTAAACTCTCAGCTGGCTCTGCTCCAACGCATGTATAAGGATGCGCGAGCAGAGATAAGTGTGCTAAAGGCGGAAAATAAGGAGCTGAAGCGGAAGGCCACCGTTATGTTCCGATTTGGAGGTCCGCCATATGCTGCAGTGGAGGAGCAGGGAGTAGTGATCGTGCCCAGTGGAGTGGGAAACACGGAGGCAGCACCGGCAAGGGCCGCCCAGGACGGAGGCAAAAAGAAGAGACCGGCGGCAGAGTAGAGAAAGTGAGGTCGGTGAGTGGCCGTCTGCAGAAAAGAAAACACAAATCGTTTTGTTTTTGTTTTTGTTTTTGTTTTTGTTTTTGTTTTTGTTTTTGTTTTTGTTTTTTTTTTTTTTTTTTTTTTAATGTGAAAAATGAAGATAAAATAAAATAAAGAAAATGGGGATAGTGGGATCAGACTGATTGATTAAACAATTTGGGAAAAATGGGTTGTATGAAAAGATGGGAACAAGCCCATGTGGGTTAGGGAATGGCGGTGGAGATTTTCACACAGCCAAGTCTCAGCTCAGTGGTGGTGATAAGATTTTTCAAAAAGGCGTGTGAGTGTAAGGAGAGAGAGAGAAATTTGTGCAGACATATTCTTCTAAGGATCTTGAAGGAATACTTGTCAAAAAAGTCGAGGAATGCCCATAGACAAACTATAATCAGGACAGTGTATTGGAGTTGGTGGAAGAATCTGCAAATCACGTTTTTGATGTTGAAGGAAATGAAAGTAAAGATGTTTCACCAAACTGGTGGGGCTATAAATCTGGGTTTGTGTCAGGAGGTTATCTTGGAGCCGAATCCAGGAGAAAGAAATCCCTCCCAACTGAAAATGGTCAAAATTCTTGGAACAGGGTTGCTTTTCACGAAGAAGATCAAGAAAATCTTTACAAACTCGTCCAAGATAAAAATGGAAAAGTATTACATTGGTGAAATAGATACATCAACCATCTTGGGCTTGGCATTGGCTGTTCGGAGTTGTTGTGAAGCCTTGAAAGCTGGCATACAGTTGCAGGGATGAGGCCAGTACATCCAGCTGCTTCAAGTTGGTTAGTTCCTATCCCCTTTGAGTTTGCGGGGGGCTGTTAAAATGTACCAAAACCTACCACTACACCTACTCCACCACTCGACGGTAGAAGGCAGTGAACCCTGGAGGTGGTTGAAGCTAACATCAAATTGGTGTGAGAGAGGTCTTGCGAGTTGATGGAGGTCTCAAATGGTTGAGATCCGGCGGGCGGTCAAGGCAAGGTTGCCGCCCGCCGGAAGGCGGAGAACACCGAGAACACCAAGATCTTTAACCTTGCTCTGATACCATGTAGAAATTTAATGTATAAAGAGAAATGATTGTATCATTGATTGTTGTATGTTGTGATGTATTGTATGTACATTATATAGGAGATGGAGATGTGAAGTGGAGGTGGAGTGGTGGAGTAGGTGAAATGGAGTGTGTAGTGGAGTAGGTGAAGTGGAGGTGGAGTGATGTAGTGGGTTAGGTTTAGTGGAGTAGGTTTAGGTGTACATTAACAACTTAAGATACAATAATAAAACAAAAATCATATAAATTTATAAGAATTAGTGTCATATTGCATTTTTTATTATCTTTGAATGATATATTAATATATATAACATATAATAAATATATAAAATTACATATTTCACGCGTGTCCCCTACGTGTCATGTCCTTCATTTTTTGAAAATTAACGTGTCAGCGTGTCCGTGTCGTGTCACGTGTCCGTGTCCATGCTTCTTAGTTTGAGAGTATGAGAACTTACTCCAAACAAAATTTATCTTAGTTTAAAAATGAATATAACTAGATGGAAATAGGGCAATTTTCTTAAGCTTAAGTAAGAGAAAAATCCATATACAATAACAAAATAGAAGTAAAATATAGAGTGGAAGGTCAGCCATGAGGTGGCAAAGTGGGGCGTTCTAGAAGATGGTAGGCACTAAGATGGAAAGGAACCCAGAGGGAGGTAGAAGCAGGAAGTCGACGCACTCTCGGACGGAAAGATAGAGAGGGTGATAATAGAGAGCTTTTGGGCTCTAGAGAAATGAGTTAGCTAATACATGTGTTGTATGCATGGAAAAGGACTTCTTTTTATAGAAGAGTCGAACCATAGGGAACAGCCACCCATGCACAATAATGCAACATCCCACACTCAGGGTGGCTCATCCCCATGGTTCAACAATCCAAAGGTTCTCAACTACTATTTGCACCCACACTCAAACATTGAGAGTCATATCAGAGTGATGTCGACTCGTCTGTAGGTACGTAAATCTTAAAATCTTTATCAAGGCACTATAATAGGTAGGTGTGATACATTTTATAGAGTATCACGTGCGTTGGTCAAAGGTTGGCTTTGTCTTGTAAGAGCCCTCTCTCTCTCTCTCTCTCTCTCTCTCACACACACACACACACACACACACAGAGCTCAATTAAAGTGCAAACCCTTCTACAGAATACGATAAGGGACATTAATGAGCCCTCAACTCTTATCCTCTGGAGATCCTGAGCAAGGGTCATGAAGTTGCTTGGAGGCCCAGTGATCGTTACACTAATCTTAAGAAAATTCCTAGGCCATATGACCTAGGCAAACATTGGTAGCGTCAAAGTGCCTTTTGCAGATCAAAGAAGACCACTTAGAAGAGACTGCTCGATGAGAAAATGACAGAGCGAATGTTATGGAGGGCCACACTCGACCCGAGAGCGAACAAGTACAGGCGGGGGAAACACTCAAAAGAAGAGGCATTAGATCAAGCCAGGGAAAGAATAAGCATTTCAATCACAAGTAAAGTGGCATTGGATCAAGCCAAGGGAAACACTAAGCATTTCAATCACCAGGAAAGAGACGACCACTAAAGCAAAGGAGCTAGCTAATAGGTTAACCCATACGCATTTAACCTATGCGTACAAACTCTTGCATTTGTTTGTCTGCTACTCTATCCCAAGGGACCGTTCTCACTATTGAGATAGGTCAATTGCTTCGTCTTGTTGGCACTTGTGTTGTCATTGGCATTGTTTCTTGATTTGTCACATTATTTATGATGTCACTCAGGATACACGTCGTTGTAGTCATGTCTTCCCTATCTTGATTACACATCTTTTAAATAATCTAGTGTTTGTTTTGCAACTTCTCAGAGGTTGAGATAGATGAGTGATATTACATTTACACGTAGCATGGCTCATTTGTGCCATGTTCATCTTGTTGCCCTTGTTCCCCTATTGCATTTGCATCAACCCTCTTCTTCCTTCTGCTCCACTCACGGACATTCATGTTATCTTAAATAGTATTATGGCTAGACAAGGGAGTATATATCAGAGGTTAGATAGAATTGTTCAGTGTATCGAGTAGGGATGGAAATCTAATCCGCCCCACCTCCACCCCAACAGGGTGAGTTCTTTCCTTTTTTGATGAACTTTTTCCTATTGTTTTTAGAATTTAATGTATATAGTACATACTAATATTTTTTTTTTTTTCTTTTACTAATTATGCTTTTGTATGACACTACTAAATTGAATTATTGTTCTTGATGCCCCCTTAAATTAAATCATGGTTTCGCCCTTGATCACTATCATGATATATTTTAGCAAATAGATGATCTTAGCCGAGTTGCACAATTTGATCCCTTGCCACCTTTCTATGATCCATATGGCGAGGCTAATTGTGTGAGATGTATCTGGTGGTGGTGACCAATGCTTGCCAAGTTGCTAATGATCAATCTTTAGAGTAGACTGAGTAACAAGATTAGAGCACTTAGACTGTTAGGCTTTTTGTTTGTTTTTGGAGTAGAAATATTTTGAATATATTGTTATATTGTTATATGTATCTCAAACTCTCATCATATATGACGTGTGCATATTTCTTTAATCCACTTTGGGAAGCATATTTCACATGAATTAAGTGAGGGTGTGGGACATATAATTCTCCTTCTTTACTTGACGTACTCATGCTACTCAACTAGTCCAGTGTTTTCAAAGGCAAAGCAGAGGCGTGCATTAGGACAAGGCAGGGCAATGCCTCAAGGCGTTTAGTTTTATGCTCGACACCAACCAGGCATAGGCATCTTGGCCAAGGTAGCTGCCTTAGACATGCATTTTCCCCTTCAATAGTCGAGACGCAAGCCTCACGAGTACTAAGGTATAAAAATAAAAATAAAAATAAAATATGGACAAATAAGAGGCGTCTCAGAAAATACAACAAGAAGGCAAACCTCGGGTTTTGATTCAACAATTCATTGGCTTCTGATCCATGAAGGCGTTGATTTCAATCTTCTATGTTTCTCCCAATTTCTCTCCCTTCGTCTCTCAAATCTTGATATGTAATTTTGTCGCTGGCCACTTTTTCAAATACACACAAAATATCATTGTACGCCAATATATATTAATGTCTTTAGTGATGATACATATAATGGGAGAAGAAAATATTTGTGGGTGTATTTAAAAGCACCCTTTGTGTTAGCGTTTGGTTTTGTTTATGAAACTTAGAAGTAAATTCATTAATAACTTTAATAAATTCATTAAGTTTCTATACTTGGAATGGTTTTATTAAATTTTAGTTGATATTTTTTTAAAACTCCTTTTTATGATATTTTTAATTAATTATATTTTATAAAAATATAAAAATCAAAAATCAAAAAGCTTACGCCTTAGTGCCTTACGTCCCGACCCGTGAGGGGGTGTAACGCCTGGCTTAGCGCTTTCAGCTTTAAAAACTTTGGATTGGCCCTACACAAGGTAACAACCCACTAGAGTCCAGCAAAGGAGTCTATCAGATAAACACTCCGATAGTTGAGTTAGAACTCAGATATAGTGTGTTACTTATCTTGGGGGGAAAACAATAAACCTTTCATCTGGGCAGTCTTCTCTTCCCATATTTATAGAGGTTGCGGCCGTGTGCTCACTCTCTTTTTGATGAGGATATGTGAAGTGCATGTAGTTTAGACAACTTGGGCCTTGCTCCCCCACATCTGAGCTGGACCAGGTGCCTTCACTGTCACCCTACTGACTCTGCTCCACCTTTTGCACAGGACATTCATCCTTTCTCACCTACCTCCCCTTTGATACAATCCTGTCATGTCACAATCGTACCTTTTGGACGAGGTAAGACTAGCAGGTGTATGTGTGTGTGCCGAGTGTCACCTCGGCACGTCCCCAATTGGCGTAAGTGTTTGCCGAGCACAATCGATTCAGGTGAGGATGAAATATCCTGATCCCCCACATTAACCGTGTAAAACAAACATACTACCGAGGTTATTACATTCCGCATAAAAGAATGTACAGCGTTGATCGCAGGGTAAATGAGGGAATTAGTTCATAAAGATGGTAAGATGACTATATAACTTATTGACAGCAAAATATGTATGCATTAAAGAGCTCAATATAGAACTATCACCTACAAGCTACAACTTAAACAATATTTCATTTCCAATAACAGAACGCAGATTCATTATTTGATACCAAAATTGATTTATCTAAACTAATTTTAAAAACCCAACTATATAAAATAGGATTGCACTCCACAAAATCAATCTTTCACAGCACAATAATCTTCCCCAATAAACAAGAGGTTTATGATTGTTGTTATTTTATGAACAAACTGAACTGAAAGTTGCAGAGACACAGAAGAAGGCAAACCTACCTGCCAGGAGAAGAGACGAAAGAAGGGTAGTGAGGGTTCCAACCCATCAAAGAATCGAGCCTGGAGGCGAACAAAACAAGGAGGCAAAGAAGGCAAAGAAAGAGAAGAAACTTGACCCTAGGACCATCGAGAAGCTGGCGGAGGCGCCGGTGGAGAAGCGGGGAGCGGCCGCTGTAGACCCCCCTATTGGCGGCCTTCTCCTTTCAAGCAAGCTATTTGTTAATATAATAATACCAAGCATGCTTATATCATTAATATATATTTAATAGTTAGTGCTTCTCCATCAGATGATTTATTGTAGTGCTTTAGGTAGTGCCTTCAACTTTCGGCTACTTTTATTTTTATATGTTGTCTTTCATAATGTTGTATCATAATGATGTTGTATTAGCTCTCCTATATAATGGAGCATTCTCTTCATGTTTAATACACAATTGAATCACAGAGTGTATTAGCTCTTTCAATCACTCTCTCAATATTTCTTTCACAACCACCTCCTGGATATCCTCACTCATCTCATCAGGTCTGTAAACTTCGAATGGCACCCTAATATATGAAATATATTAATATTTTTTTTTTTTTTACGTAATGTTTGTAGAATAAAAATAATTATAAATTTGTTATAATATTTTATCTTATTAATTATTTTAATTTATTTTATCTTTTAATGTTATTTTAGCTTAACCAAAAAAAAAAAACTATTGCCAAACATCCCATGTAAGCACTTTTATTGGGAGTGGATCCTAGGACTTTTTGGTTTTTTTTTTTTTTTAGATAAATTATAAATACATTTCTTAAAATTTAATTAAAATACGAATTGTTCCTTATAATTCTCAAAATTACATTTTACTCCTAAGATTTCTAATTTAATAACAAATCATCCATTTTATTAATAAATTATTAAATCAATTAATAGTTTTTAATGATGTTAGAAATATGTTTCAATTAATAATATAGGTAATTTTATTATTGTATAGGAAAATAATTATGAATTTTATTTTTTTTGGTTGATTATGTTAAATAAAAAATTTTGACAATGAGATATTTATAATTTTTCAAATTACATTATACAATCTATATTTTAAGCAAATCTCAAAAAATATATTTGTAGTTTATTCCTTCTTTTTCTTAGTATGTACCATCTCCCCTCAAACTCTTAAAATTTAGTATGTCAAATTTGATTGTAAACTTGAGTGGCAAATTGGCATATCTCAATTTGACATTGAAACTCTTCACTTGATAGGTTAAAACTATTATTCTATTGTTTTTAAAATTTAAACTCTTTTATTTTTTTTTTTAAAGTGAAGTGATCTTCATTTTAAAATTGACATTAAAAGATGATACGAAAGTCATATCAGCTTTTGGCACACTAAAGAGGACTTCATTTGATATGCCAAAATAAAACTGTTAAATGTCACATTGAATTTGACATATAGAGTGGAGATGTTTTCAATAGTTTTAATTTTTGACGTCTTAGCTTCAATAATATTACTCATTTTTTCTTTAAATTTTAGTTAAAAAGCATATTTTCTATTTCAGGAAATCACTTTTTCAAATGCATACTCTAACAATGTTCCCTGTTCTTTTCCTATTTCTATTAAAGGATTATTTGAGGTGTCCTAAATAAATGTACTTTTTGTCTTTTTGAATTAAAAAGTTAAAAAAAAAAAATAGTTGTTTGGAATAAATTTTTGTCTTTTTATAAAAAGATGTGTAATATAATATTATTACAAATGATAAAATGACTCCTTTACCCTTCCCAACTGACACACCAATAGGGATACGTGTTACCGTTGTTGGGAACCGTGCCTGTCAATGAGTGGTCCACCTTGGACAATTTAGACAGTGTGCAATAGTAGTATTAACATAATTTAAAATTTTTTATTCATTTCCTAATTCCAAACACTGCGCAACGGTCTTCAAAACATGTGGTTGAACTTTAATTTTTTTTTTTATTCATTGTTTTTTGTTTTCATTCTTTTCCTTTAACCATTATTTTTTTTCCCTATAGGCATTTTTTTTTTTTTTGATTCTTTTCCTTTTAACATTTTTGTTTTTATTATTTTTCTTTTTGAAAGAATTTATTTTTTTAATTCTTTTCCGTTTAACATTATTATTTGTTTTATTCTTTTTCTTTTTTATTCATTTTTTTTTCATTCCTTTCCTTTTAACATTATTTTTTTTAACTCTTTTCCTTTAGTCAATATTATTCTTTTCCTTTTAACATTATTATTTTTTTTATTCTTTTCCTTTTAACATTATTTATTTTTTTATTCTTTTCGTTTTTTTATTCACTTTTTTTTTTCATTCTTTTCGTTTCAATTTTTTTTTATTCTTTTCCTTTTAACATTTTTATTTTTTTTATTCTTTTCCTTTTAACATTATTAATTTTGGTTTATTGTTTTCCTTTTTTGATCATTTTTTTTTTTGTATTCTTTTCCTTTTTTGTGCAATTTTTTTTTATTTATTGTTTTCCTTTTTTGATCATTTTTTTTTGTATTCTTTTCCTTTTTTGTGCAATTTTTTTTATTTATTGTTTTCCTTTTTTATTCATTATTTTTTATTCTTTTCCTTTTAATTTTTTTTTAAATTCTTTTCCTTTTTCTTTTATTGTTTTCATTTTAACAAATTTGTTTTCATTCTTTTCGTTTTGCTTTTCTTTATTGTTTTCCTTTCTTATTAGCTGGTCATGCACAGTGCTGTTGTAAGTTGTTCAACAATTTTTTTTTTTAATTTTATATTCTTTTGATTTTGTTTTGAACAGTGTTTTTTGGACATATGTAGCATAAAATTGGATACAAAACTGTATCAACATAATATTACAAATTCAGACAAGCAAAAAATATTTATTGCATTTTTTTTTTTGTTATGTGTTTTGTCAAATTTGTTCGACACAGATTTGTTTTTATAGAAGCTGCATCTAAAAAAAAAATTTCAAATGTTATCACACAATTATTGGACATACATCATTCATGTATTTTATATGTTAATGATTGGACATACTTCATGTTCAAATAAAATTCGTTCACAAGGTAATTTACCGAAGGCATCATAATATTAAAACCAAACGTTTTTTAAGAAGATATGATAATATAAATTTGAATCTCAGTTACACATTATAAATTTAACCAACATTAATGTTTCAAATATTTGTGTTCAGTTGCCGTCTTAGTTGGTACGTAATGTTCGCTCGTACAACTGCCATTGCGGGGTCGGAGACCCCTTCCTCAATCACATCAGCAACCCGTGCGTATTCATCGTGGTCGGGCATTTCGGGGGCCACATATTCGGTGCTATCTGGGATAGCAAGCGTGACCTCATCAATTTGACTGTTTCGGCGTATGAAGTTATGTAACGCCATCGACACACATACAAAGGTCACTTGATTAGAGAAACTCAACTTCTGAATATTCCGCAATGCCCTCCACCTCGACTTCCACGCACCGAATGTCCGCTCGATACAACTACGCAATGACGAATGTGCCTTATTGAATAGTTCGAACTCATTATGTGGTCTTCAATTCCGATGGGCATTCTGGTGATACCTATACCCCTTGTATGGGGCTAGGTACCCTATCTTGTTGCTATAACCGCTTGTACGGGAATGAAATAAACCTTCTCGTATAATCCTATTGATCAAGTCTGCGCTCCTCCGTACGACGTCGCTTTACTCCCTGAAAACACAAACGTGAGCTAACCGGCGGGTGTGTGCCGGAAACCCCTCCGATGCCTAAGTCAGAAAAACAAACAAATAAACAAGAAGCTCTGTGAATTCGAGAATCAAAGTTGTGTGTTACCTCTCCATAGGTGATGTTTGTGAGCTTTTATAGGTTTTGCGTGGCACAATCCTAGTAGGACTTTTGCTCCTCCATGCAGAGTCCTCCAAGGATTCATACTCCTAAAGGATAATGCTTATCCTTCAACCCCCCCTCACTGCTTAAACCAAGTGAGATGGTTCTTCCATGGCCGACCTACCATACGACCGAAGTAATCATGACTATGCTTAGCCGAACCATACCTAGTTCGGTTCTCTATCCATAGTTTTCTACAAACCATGTATGCCCAAAACCGAACTATCTTTTATCAAGGTTTAGACCAATCTTGTTTCACTGCGCCATGACCGGTATAAGTTCAAAGCATCCTTAAACCGGTCTAACTACAAAGCGTCCTTTGACCGGACTAACATCAAGAGTCCCTCGGACCGGTCTACCTTCTGGGCTTGAGACCGGGCTAACTTTAAGCCTCTTCAAGATCGGAGTAACTTTATGACCTCTTTACTCAGCCCTTCGTACTGAGGCCTATAAAGGCCCAGCTCGGCGTATGAAGTTATGTAACGCCATCGACACACATACAAAGGTCACTTGATTAGAGAAACTCAACTTCTGAATATTTCGCAATGCCCCCCACCTCAACTTCCACGCACCGAATGTCCGCTCGATACAACTACGCAATGACGAATGTGCCTTATTGAACAGTTCGAACTCATTATGTGGTCTTCGATTCCGATGGGCATTCTGGTGATACATATACCCCTTGTATGGGGCTAGGTACCCTATCTTGTTGCTATAACCGCTATCCACCAAATAGTATTTTCCTGCAACGAACACAGAGATGTTATTCACAAATTTTAAGTTCGTGCCCATTTGGTTGTCAGTTTGCAGTTTATAACTACAAAACTCAAAATTACTGTCAATAAAACATCGTTCGAAAAGGGTTTTTTGCGTTTGTAAATGGTTGTCACCTACAATAATTTTAGAAAAAACCGTAGTGTCAAACCATAAGTTTACATTGTTTTTAAACTGACATTTGAAATTGTTAGTAACAAATATATTTTTTTCAAGTCAGTTATTTTTTTGAAAACATTTTTCAAACAAGTTATTGTTTTTCAATTAATTTTGATTTTCATATACTAATTTTCCACCTACAATTTTATTGGGTGAAAAAAATACAAGTGGCCATTCAGTATTTTTTTTTTTTTACAAAAAAATAATTTTGCTATTATTGTGTTACTATTTATTTTGTTTTCCAATTTTGTTTTGAAATACTTTTTTTGTCAATACATCGTCTTCTTAAATACAACAATTTTGAATTACATTTCTGGTTTTTGTAAATAGTAGTTTTAAATATTTTGTTTGGACGTAGAAATTTTTCAAATTAATTTATTTCATCAATTTGTTTTTGTACAATTTTTTTTAAATGA